AAGTTAAGCGTGGTACCCTTCAGTCTGAGAGTGTTTGGCTTCTTGTATGCTACTTTGCATCTAACGATCTCTACCATGCTGACTTTGTTTAGGATGAGTTCTTATCCAAGTTGTCTGCTGACACATGTACAGTAAATATACTGAAAACCCTTTTTCCTATTGGTTTTGAGAAATATGTTTTTAATGAAAAGAAAGTTAGGTTCCGAATAACACTGATCTCATACATGACCTATTCTGGGTGCTGGCAGTGAAAGCATAATTAATACTAAAATCTGTATCTGTTTGCTGGTTTCATTTTACCTTCTTTGTAAATACATGACAGGGTGAGGTATGGTGGTCCTTCTCTGAAGATTTTACTGCCCAAATTTAGAAAATGGAAAGTGGTGAAGGGTACTGGTAAAAGCAAGTTTACTCCTAACTGCTGTTTATGAATTGCAATTTTTTTAATGCTCTGATAGGAGACTTAATCTTCTCATCTAGTGGGATAATGGAGGTTGTAATCAATGAAGCATGCAATTGGATACATTCTAGTGTGAATTTATGCTCAGTGGGGTGGCTTAAATGATATCTATTCTTGTGTAGATTACACTATTCTGTCCCTAATGCCAAATGAGCTGTAATCATGCTAAGGTAACTGTGAAGGGGAATTATGTGACAGGTTTTCCATATATGTCGTCAAAGAATTTGAATGACTCAGGATAGGCAGAAATACCCTTTCTGCCTGTGGAGCTGAAGTCTCCTTCTGATGGTACCTGACCTTAAGGCAGTGCAGGATCTGATGCTATCTGAAGGCCAGCATGGTCTTTAAACCATAAATTTGTGAGTAGTTGGGTAAGAACATGAAGTTGGATATGCTTGTGCTGCATGCGCGTGCATCCATAATCCCAGCCTCTACCTGTACTAGACATGCTGTCGTGCTACTTATAATGATTCTGATTTGCAGGATGAACTAAATCTGAAGTCAGTTTTGTAATGTAGTGTTTTGTGAACTGGAACTGTTTGTTACCAGGTTGGGGAGATGGTTATAATCACACTCCCTGATGTCTTCTCCCTAGACCAGTGCAGTGCTTTCTAGCTGTCGCTGTATGATGCTGCTGCTGAGTAGCTGTTAGAATACTGGTTTACGTGATTGGTTTCCCCGAGAGCTTGGCCCAACACAGGCATTACCCGTGGCTGATTCAGAATGCCATCTTGTTGCTGCATTCTGTAACCAGCTGGCTGATGTGCTCTGATTTTTCTTTTGCAGTCGAGTTTCTTAACGTGATGGTGCTCTTCTGTGTACATGCGGTCTGGGCAGTGCAGGAGAGATGTAGGTGAGCTACAGACACCTGCTTTTTTGAGCCACACTCTTAGGTGAACCCTGACTTTTCCTTGTAGTCTCCACTTAGATATATAGTACAGATACACAGTATATTCTAGTTCAAAGGTCATGGCTCACTTTGTTGACTTGTTGAAACCATAAAAGTCTTAATTTTGCACACTTCCCACCTGCTGGAAAAGGAAATGAATCACTGAGCTGTACCCACCTTCTTTCCTGGTCTCTGGAACTGAACTTGCTGCTCTTTGGCAGCAGGCTTGGAGCTTGCAGCATGTAAGCCTTCATTTGAAGGCTAGTGTGCAGATTCATAAGGCATTCTTGGAAAAACGACTAGGCTTCTATCTAAATGTGGCTATGAATGTGTCTTCTGTGGGCAATTCCAGAGTGTGTTTATAGTTATAGTATGCTTCATGAAAAGTCCGTGGAATTGCGTTCAGAGTATTTCTTTAATGTTTAATTCAGGTAGGATAGCATAGAATCTTCTAAGCTTACGTGGTAGCTGACATGAGAGTGTAAGGATGTATAAGTACATTGGTAGAAGAACACTGGGAGGTAAAATTGATTGGAGTATGTGTTGAATCAGTAAGGGGCTGTTCTCTGTGAAATGTTGTTTTTGACCGTGTGGAATAACTTGTTTAGTTTTAGCATTTGTCACAAGCAGAGACACCTCTAAGGAGCTGGGAAAAATGCTTTTATTCTGATTAAAATTGTGTATCGGTTTGGGAATTTTTTTTTTTAAGTAGCTATTTTTTGGTATTAGGTAACCTCAGATCCATACTTTCAGTATGTAGCCTTTCATCTCTTCGAGATGAAATTCCAGCTACCTGGGAAAGACATTAAAAGCTTTGAAATGATCTCTATTAGATGCTAGGTAATTTGCGAAGCAGTCATTATCAGTCTTCTGTCTGCTTATCCAGGAATCAGCTACTAGTAGACAGCCGCAGGTAGCAGGTACATCATGTGCCTGCTCCTGAATAGCTGCTGTTCACAGCCTGGTCTGTCAGCGTGAGGACACAGAATTCAACTTTAATTTATCAAGCTGTGAAACTGTAGTAATTTGAGCTCTGGTGCAGTAGACTTCAGTGGTTTCAGGAATCAGAGCCGTAGTGCTACAGTTATGCAGTCTGGAGAGTAACAGAGAAGAGAAAGCTTCCATGGTTCTTCCTCTGCAGCGCTGGCTCATGGAGTCTGTTGGTCTCATGGTGCTGCTGTCCCTCCTCTCTCCCCAGCAGCTGCTGGTTCTTGTTTGCTGAGATCTGTCAAATGAGTTTGTGGAGCGGTGCTGTACGGACTATTATGTCTAATAAATAACCTTCTGCAAACCATTATATTTCCAACCTGAATCAGTTCAGTGCTGGGAACCAGTTCAGAGTTGGAGGGACGCTATGCTGAAAATCAGATTAGCCTTAGTTGTGCAAGCCAGAGGGCAATGCAGATGGCTCAGAGTGGGGGTGAGAGGAGCAGGGGCAGTTCGTTTGGCTGGCACTGTTCCTGAAGAAAACCTGTGGCCTTTGCTAAAGCTTTAAATTGCCATTATCTGAGCTGCAGTGTGGTAAGCAAGTGCTCCTACACTTGTTCCAAAGCACAGTAATTTTCTAGCTGAAGCCACCACTGTGTGCAGGATAGTTTTAAAACTACTTCAGTATTAAACCTGGCCTCAAAGCACTGCAGGTTAGTTATTTGCATCTGGCTAAGTGCTGCTGCTAAGGGAGGAGTTCCTACTGTGTCTTTGCTGTTTTGTTTGCACACTTGCACCGATTCTAAAGTCCCCGCAACTACGGTGACCAAATCGAGGAGTTGCTCTGGCTGAGACTTTATTTTGCTGTGCAGCTATCTGGATGTCTGTGTTGGCAAAAGAGAAGAGATAGAAATGAGTATCAGGAGGAAGCAGTTTATACTCAGTGATTGCATAGCTGTAGCGTAATTGTATCCTAAGAGCAGACCTTTGCTTCTGAAAAATTACTTTCAAGATGTTAATGCCAGGCTCGAAAAACAAACTTGCTCCAGCATCTGAGATGAACGGGTGTCACTTTCCGAATAATGCAGTGTCTGGTGAGGCCAGCAAGTATGATTCATCAGCTGTTAGAGGTTAGCACAACTCTGGCTTCCTTTCCCATATGATAGTGTGAGTGACATAGGTGAATAACTGGTCTTGTTCTGTCTGCTGGCCGCCACCTCTCATTGTTTGCTGTCGTCCTTTCATGTATTTAGGATGAACATCTTTCCTAGGTGTTGATATTTATTTGACTAGGATATTGAAAAAATAAATTTCTTACTATATCTGGCTATAAACTACAATGTGAATGCAGTCCAGAGAAATTTGAGCAACATCCTAGATACATCCTTGTCCTAACCTTCTTTTCAGTGTGGTGGTGTAATTAATATAGGCATTTACTAAAATTCATTGTTTTGGTTTCCGTGTCTTCTAGCTGCTCCCGTGCACATCTGGCAACATCCTTCATAATATATTTGGATACCAGAGAGTTACAGAATTGTGTACCAATCTTAATCTGTTTAGATTACTTAATAGGTTGTAATTTTCCTAAAACTAGGAGTACTGGCAAAAATAAATCTGTTCTGCAAGGAGTAAGACTTGTCACCTTTGATGCTACAGATAGGGCGTTCGTGTCTTGGAGAGTGTTCTTTCACACGTAACTGTGCCATTGTACGGTAGCTATTCTGTGACTTTTAGGAATACAGACAGCAATTTGCATCTAATGACTGGGTTTCTATGTTTTGGTACATTGACTTTTAAGATCTGATCTTTAACTTACTTCTTTGAACAAGTAGTCTAGTTAAAACCATTATGTTCCCCACCGCAGTTTTATTTTGAGTGAGCGCTTGCCCTGTACCTCGAAGTTTTTCTGTAGTTGTCACAGATGTTATGTGTTACAGTAGTCGTACTTCAACTGGACATGTACAGGTATGGTACAGCTAGTCAAGCCCTTATCTTCAGCAAATGGTGTGTAACTAGTAAGATGACTCTTAGTGTGGATTTTATGCAGAGGGCCTGGCTTTGTTCTGTATGCTGACATATATGCAAAGTTGAGACTGTACACAATGACTTTTTTGTCTGTGGTGTCATGTCCACCTCATGGATGAGTACAGTGTTTACATCGGCTTCTTTAGGCTAATGGCTATGGAGACACATAGATTATGCTTGTTTTGCTACAGTAATAGAGGATTCCAGAGTTGAGTCTGTTTTGATATTTTCCCCTTTTTCAGTTCTCATAATCCTGAGAATACATTGTTTAGCTTAATAAAACTATTCACTTCTATTTTGTTTTTCCCTATAGTGAGTCTCGAAGTCTCACTATGCTGTTATTTGTGCCTGCCTAGTTCTTGGTGAAGGGGAAAGGCAGTTTTTTTGCTTTGGTTGGCCTGGACGTAAGCAATTCTCTCCACATAGGTTCCCAAGCTGAAGAACTTTAAGATGTTAGATTAAACTGCACTAAATTGGTAACTGTGGCTTTGGTTATATCAGCAACTTAGCAGCCTTGTATACAGAGACTGACATTACTTGTCAGTAATGGCTTAACCTAGCTGGAAGTAGTTTGAGCTCGGCAGGGGGGATGCAGAGCATCTGGCTGATCGGAGGGCCAGGGACTACTCTGAAATGCCTATCGTTTCTTGAATGAATGTCTTACAAATGCCTCTCTTTATATTTTTGCTGTAGATAAATCATATTGTGCACAATGGAGGATTATACAAAAGGCCTTTCAATGAAGCCTTTGAAGAAACACCAATGCTGGTTGCTGTGCTGACCTATGTAGGCTATGGTGTTCTCACACTCTTTGGATATCTGCGAGATTTCATGCGGCAGTGGAAGATTGAGAAGTGTCAAAATGCAACAGAAAGAGAAGAACAAAAGGTAACCACTGAGAAATAATGGTCAGTGGGAAATGGGGTGGCTGAGGCTATAGCTTGAGCATTTTTTTGGGGAAGCAATGTTGTTCAAAGTTTTCTGCTGTTTTCTTTGTTTTCTGAATGCCCCAAGTACTATGCTAGTACTGCTGTGTAGTTAAAGTTGGGTTTAGTTGGGTTATTTTTTGGCGGAGCAGTTCCCTTGTCTGGTTCACTGCAAAGCTACATCAACATGCTGAGAGATGCCCCAACTGCAGAAGCAAGGGTTTGGGGGAGAGAGACTGCGTAGTCCTGCATCAGCAGCTGAAGAAATGCTCATCAAAGGATCTGGTTTGAGTTTGACAGCAGTGGGAGGCTTTCCGATGTTGCTTGGTGGCTGTGGTTGGATTTGGAAGCATACTATTAGCCTAAACAAAGAAAAAGTTGCAAAGAAAAGCTTATGGATGAGAACTAGAGCACAAGCTGGATGACTTAAAACCATCTCACTAATGCAAACAAATAATGAAGGGTGGGAAGGGAAAAGAAAAAAAAGAGAGGCTTCTTTGGGCTCTCTTTGTGGAGACAGCACTGGAGTAAAGTGTGTGTCATCTTATGGTAGATTAGCTAAGGTGCAGTAAACTAACCAATGCCTGAAGTTGCTGCACAGGAGCTTCTTTATGTGAGCGTCATAAGGTGGAAATAAGCTGATTCGTAGTACGGCATGTAATTCCAAAACAGAAACATTCTTGTAGGAGTTCCATGAGGAATAGGTATTTCATATTGGTTAAAAGTACAGGAGTTTGAGTTTACACTATTTCCAAAACTGATTTCTGGAACTTGGATCCCTTTTAACAGTTACAATATCCGAATAACGGTTGCTGGCTAAATCTCAACTTGAAATTTGATGTGTTCATTTATGTCATTTGAGCTACTCTGTTTTTTGTCACCTGAGAACATGACACCCTTGTATTTGTCTGTGTATGAAGCAGAAGTTGATACAGAAGAGAACAGTCAAACAGTTGCAGAAGTCTACCGAGATATTAGAATACAGGTTTAAATATTGGTCTGTACTCATGGTACTGGAGGATTATTTAGGGATAACTGAAGTGTTGGTGCAGTTACTGTATACTGTAGTTACATTTCTGTTGCACAGGTTTTGTGAAACATTTGTTCTGTTACCAGTAAGTAAGGTGCAAGACTGCTTGCAGTAGTCCTTATCTGTGGGAGCAGTCATGGCTCATGCATGAGAGTGTACAGAAGGAAGACCTTGGGCAGTAGGTCTCATTTGGGAATACATTATTGACAGTAGGCTCTCAGTAAAGATTGTCACAGAGGATGCTGAAGCACAGAATTTTTTAGCAACTGATTATCCTAGTTCTAAAAGAAATTTAGGCTTGTCGTTTTTTATAAATTAACTTAGCGTTGCATCTTACCCCGAAAGACATCTGCTTAACAAGTATACCTCCTGGACAGGTGAATTGAAACCCTTTGAGTTTGTGTGTTGGTCATGGCTTGCAGGGAAGAGATGCCTCTATTACGGTTTTGTTTTGTATGTAGGATGTCTGTGGATGGAGCTAGTAAGAAGTACCAGTGAATATTGCATAAGAATGAAAAATAGGAAATCCTGTTTAAAAAAGTTTTAGTGTTGAAGAAGTCTCAGCTGAGTGTACTTCCCCAAATCATGTTTCTAGTGCTTAGGTTGGAATAGCTGTTTCCGATATCAGACAAATAGAAAAGTGATCACGTGAGGTCTAGAACATGCAGTGCTTTATCCTCACGCTTTGCTGCTTTGTTTGTCTGCAAATGAATTGATGAGAGCGCGTTGCAGCATATCTAGTGTGAGAGCCAGGTTTTGTTTTGGTGTGGAGGGAGTGCTCAATAACTTGTTTTGAAACAGTTTCTCATGATTTTGAAGTATTTGAATCTCTCAAGCTGCTGGCTGACAGCCCAATCATCTTTTGGTAAGGGAATGCAGATACTAGCGTACAGAAAAGGCTCAAAACTCGCGCGGTTTTTTTTATTAGTACCTGCTAATCACAGGAGCCTTCTGGTTGCCCTGGCGTAGTCTCTGGCAGATTTGTGACCTCTGTGTGTAAGCTAACATTTTTATTATTTAAATTCTAAAGAGGCAGCTGGATTATTATGATTTTAAGTATCAAGCAAAAAAGTTAGCTTTAGCTTTTTGAAATAGCTGAGAATTGCTTAGGTGAAAAGCTGAAAGCAAAGGCAGTGGGAGTAGCTGGCGTAGCTGAACAGTGTGTGATGACCTGCTTTGTGAGCAAAACAAAATTACGTAGTGTGAGGAAGTATTTCATAAAGGCCTGAATGAATTTGTCTGAAAAGTTGTGGAGATGAAGCATGTGGATTTTCTGCAGTGTGTTTCTGAAGGTGATCACAGTTAAAAGCATAATCTAACCTTAGGTCCAAATTGTAGTATAAAAAAAAAAAACACCCTAAAAAGCCATCTTCAGTTTTGTGTGTTTTGGAGGGCAGTTTACTTCAGTAGCGCAAATCCTTCCTGAAATTGTCACTTAATATTGTAATCTTAGTCTGTGCATCAGAACTGGAAGCCGAAAGTGACCGAACTAATTTAAAGAGCAGGCTTTCCAACGAGTCTTTATTGGGACTGTCTCTAATAGTGTGTAAATTCCTTGGAATTTATTAGAGCCTTGCAATGAAATTAATGATTCCAGGAAAACCTAATATTCACTCATGGTTGGAACACAAAAGGGCGAAACGGGACAGACTTTGTTAGTACTGATTTCCAGGAAACAGTCTGGTGGGGTTTGGCTTTGTTTAAACTGTATCCAACTGGGCTTTTCCTGGAAACCACTATTGTGCAGTACATCCTCTGTGCAGCACTGCCATTCTGGTTTAGGCACGGGTAAGCGGCAAGGTTAACAATTCTCAACTACCCTGGATCAATTTATGCATACCCAATTTAATGTAATGTCTGTCCATACAATGTATTTAAATCTGAAAAATGCTTGTAGGATTTTATAGGCAGGATGAAAACCACTTTTACCTTTCTTCTGGCCTGGTTTGTCCCTTGTTTACCTTGTACATTTTGCATACAGGAGGCTCTGTGCAAATGGGGATGGTAAGGTTCTAACACACCTATTCTTGCTCAGTACCTTGCCCAGTCAGAACATGTTTCTAGCATCTGGGGTTTTCAAACACTTGTTCACAGGAATCCATCTGTAGGAGTATCTCAGGGGCGGTAAACTGGAGTCTTTTGCTTAATGTTGTCTTAGCATCGGTATAGCTCGTCAGAGGCTTCCTGATGGTATAAAGGCTACCCACCATTATTGCTCCACTTTTTCTTGACTCACGTAGCAGTGAGATGGAACTAGTCTTTCTGCTTCCTTTTAGAAGCCTGAAATTTGTTGCAGTTGCCTACCTGATTTCCATTCAGAGTCAATTTTATATTAGCAGGGAACATATTGTGTGAATTAATGGCACTGTTGTTAGCTTAGGTGCAGCTCTGTGAAAACTTGGCTCTAAAAGCAGCGTAATCACTGCGTCTGCGTGTCATTGCCCCAAGCTAATGCTTACAAGGCTCTCATTATGACCTTCACTTGTTGTAATATTAATTTACAGCATGATGAGATCTTGGATTCCCAAATCACCTATGCTAAGGTGCTGCACCCCAAGGGAGAATTTTATTCTTCCCTTGTTTCACTCTTTCTTGAAATTGCTATGCCTTTCAGGCTTCTGGGGGACCACTAGTACTTAGGTTTCTTCATCAGACATCACCTTACTAATAGGGGATGTGTTCTAGGCTTAAATCAACAGGAATTGAGCTGTTTAGGATTTCTTAGCTAAATGTTCTTATGAATTGAAATGAAAGAACATACTGCTTTTGCTCCCTTCTTTTGGAACAATATAACCTTTGAATTCTCTGACTGTGCTTACTCTGAAGATTGCTCAAAGAATCAGCTCACTCCTAGAATGTTTTTCTCCAAATGAAGCTGTTCTATCTGGGGCTGATATTCTTAGGGTCTTGTTATGGCTAGAAAGGGTGTTGGATCTGAAATAGAATGAGAACTTGATGGAAAAATAACAATAAGCTCTGAAGGCCATTTAAAGGTGACAGCAATTGCTTCCAGCAGTAGGACACTGTTTCAGCACAGCACTATGGCTGCACGTGCCAAAAAGATAAAATTGTGTGGATTAATAGATTTTGTCCCCTCTCCCTCCCCAAGTGTTTGTGTTTTTTGTACAAAGATTGAAAACGTTCAATTTCCAGGAGGAATTTAAGTGGTCTTTTTGGTGTACTGTCCTCTCTACTCTCCTTCTGAAATGTGGAGCTGTAGAAAGATGCAAGGGGAGAAACTAACAAGCAAAAGTCAACCCCCAAACCAACCTGGCAAACTATCTGGTCCTGTAGTTATGAAGGCATGGTATCTCTACCATTTCTGTTTTTTGTGTTCTCAGACGCATGGGTCATGAGAATTGCTTAGGATTAGATAGGCTTAGGATTACTGAGGAAATAGGCAATCCAGTTTTGATTCATGCCAAAATTAATACTTCCTGCCTGTCCTATTTTGAGGAACTTGCTCATTAGAGCTAGCTGAGGGTGGTTTATTCTGGGGGGGCAGGACGGACAACAGAGGGGCTGGCATTAAGCTGCTGCCTCACTTAGAGCCCGTTGCTATAATCTTAAAGCTTGGTTCCCCAAAAAACTAAGGCCTGTATTAGACGTTAATTCCCTTACCCATAATTTGTCCTTTGAATTCTTGTTGACTTTTAAGACACCTTTTTTCCTTATCGTAATCCATTAGGTTCAGAGAACTTCTCTACTTCAGAGTTAAATCACTTTAAACTTAGTTATGCTGTTGGCTTGTAAGATCATACATGCATTATATCTCTTGGTAGTGTCAGCGTGTTGTGAGGTGATTGCCTTTATCTCACCAGTTGAGCTTGTTGCGCTTCCTGCTTTGGCAGCTTGGGTTTCAAAAATAAAACATGCTGTGTCTGATCAGTAATCTGAGGTGAGGTTGGACTGTATCAGCCCAGGCATACCTGCGAGTTGATATAATGAGTCATTTCTACCTTCTGCTCCTAGCCAAGAATCTTGGCTGAAGTCTCCGTTGTTTCCTGGGTCACACAGTTAGTGTGCCTGAATAGCTACTGCAAAGCTGAATTTGCATGCGAAGATGGTTAAAAGGAGTTGGAAATGCTTAAAAGGATCTCAGTAGATTATAAGTAGACCTAAGTGCAAGTCCCTCAAGCAGACAATTTTAGATAATTATTTTGATTTTGTGGCATGAATCGGGATCTTCTCAGTATACTGCTACGAGTGCTCTCATGCACATGGCCACTTTGTAATAGCATACAGTAGCTATGTAACTTTTCATATATGAAGGAAGTTCCCAAATGCATATGGCAATACCAAGATGGTTTTCTCCATTGTAAAAGTGGCAAATTTGTTAGTGATTCAGCCTTGAAACCCGATTTCTGCCTGGAACAACATGAGACACTGAAGTTGAGGAAAGATAGAGCTGTGTAGTTACTTCAGAAAACTCGTGATTTTCTAGGGGATTATGGCTTTGCATTAGCTGACCTGCTACAGCTGTTAACCTTTCTTGACAAAGAGCCTTCAGAGAAGACCTGGCACATGTGAAGTAATGCAAAACTATAAGTAGAGGAACACGGAAGAAATCATTGCCCTTCCATGCGTCTTAGCTCATAGAAATTGTGTTCCTGTCATCTGTCTTTGAGCAGGGACATACTTGTGATTCTCTAGAGGAGGGATCACTGGCTAAATTTGGCTTGGTTTTCCATAGTTGAAATGACAAAAAGTAATATTTTTGTGCCTTTTTGGCATGTCATTATGCACAGGCAAATCAGAAAGAGGCTTAGGTGCGACTATGTCTGCTCAGAAGTTGGCACTTTGGGCTCCATGTTTACTGTGCAGCTTCTGGTAGGAGGATGCACAAGGGTTGCACCTAGATGGTTTCTTTATGCCACACTGAAAGTACTAAGTTGCTAAATCATTAAAATTGGAAGGTAAAGAAAAAAGTACTCCTCCTGCAGTTGAGCATTGTAAGTAAAAGCTGGTCAGAGTCCTTTTGTTTGTGTTGCTATTAAAAAGCTGGCATAAATGCTCTTAGTTTTGCTTTGGTGGTACACATCAGGCACTGTAATGTTTGGTCGGACAGATAGTCTATCTTGCTTATCCTGTCACCAAAAATAAAATACCCCTTACCATGTTTGCATTTCTCTTGTGAAAAACAGGAAGAAAGGCTATGCTGGCTCTTAGCTTTGTCATAAATTGTATTTTTTCCTTTTCTGGATTATTAAAAAGGCTTTTTTTTTTAATAGTAGCAAATGAATTATGCATTCTTATCACTACTGAATGTCAAACTTCCTTTTAATTTAACAGTAATAAGGAAATCTCATGACTTTGGAGCGTTTTAAGTAGGCCAGAAAAAAATGTACTTGAGCGCTTAGATGTCCTTGCTGTGTCACAGTTAGACATTCTTGTGTGTTATCCATTCAAGACAGTCACTTACTTTTCCTGAAAAATGTTGGAAGGGAAGCTAGAATTCAGGAAATGCTCATGCAGAGAAATTCTGTGGGACTTACGTACCGATAAGCTGTGCAGAAGAAAGGTGCCACAATGTAGCTGACTAGCTTGGATTCATTCGGAACAAAAAATTGTGGAAAATTCTAACAGTAACCTCTACAATAATCCTAGTGCTGCTCTATGAAATGCATTTCTTCTGTACAGAATAAAATACAGCAAAGTACCTCCGTTTTCAAATTCTTTGTGTATTCAGCAGAGCAATGCATACTGTTTGTTGCCAGAAAGCAATTGTGTTCCCTTGCTCTGCTTAACTCTGAAGGCTGAGTGCAAGTCCCTTGCAAAGATTATATGCCCATGCATCTCACGAAGGAGTTATTGTATGCTTTGAGAGAGATGCTCCTCTCAGCTACCCATTGTGAGCTGGAAAGAGGGCCAAGGTATTCAAGTCCCCTTTGAGTTCGGAGAACAAGACCTCATTGTGTTGTTAGGAGCTCCCCATTTGGTTTCTGTGTTGCTTTTGGCACTCCCTCTGCTATACGATAGAATTCTTTGAGACTTTCTAACTTGAAGCATGACCTGATGTCATTGTTTCTTGTAGTTGTTGTTGATGGCTTTCAGATTCTATAAGCTACTTAAGTTGTATACAAATAAGCACATACTGTTGAGGAAATCTTGGGAGCATGGTAGATTTACAGGTTGAAGAAGTTTGGAAATCACATCTAGCAGATGAATTTTGCACTAGGAGATGAATCTTTTCAGTTTTGCTGCTGTCTCACCTTCAAATCGTTTTGCACTGGCATGGATTTCCAGGATAAAAACCACTTGAAGTGGGATTGGTTTCAGGGCTTGTGATGAATAACTCTTAACTTTTTGTTGAGTTTGCTTGATTTTTTTCATGTATGAATTACACCTGAATGACAGAAACAACTTACTCCTCTTATTCCTAGTTTGCAATGATACATATTTTCCTTTTACTTTGAGTGGTTTTGATGTGTTTCAGGACTTTGTCCCATTGTATCAAGATTTCGAAAATTTCTACAACAGAAACCTCTACATGCGCATTCGGGACAGCTGGAACCGTCCAATCTGCAGTGTGCCAGGGGCCAAAGTGGACATGATGGAGAGAGTTTCCCATGACTATAACTGGACATTCACGTGAGTCAAAATTGAAGAAAAGGCTTCCAACAACTATCTTTAAGTAGAGGGTCTATAAGAGCAAGTTGCAGGCTGTGAGGTTAAAGGAGCAGTGAATCGTGTTGGTTTTGAGCTTTCCAGTGGCTTGAATTGGTGAATTTTACTCTTTTGAAATACAGGTGATTATTTGTGTACAATCTTTTGCCTACTTACTAAGGCTCCTGACTGTTGATTCGAAGATCCGGTAAGAAAAACCTAACAGTACAATGTATACTGTTAAGCAGGTATTCTTTATTGCGGCGCTGGGCACACGGGGGATTTCTCCTCCAAACGTGCGCGCCAGACACCCTGTTGCTTCAGGTTAAATACAATCACACAGGTAATTATTCATTATATTTCTAGGAACTAATTAGCATATGTAAATATCTTTCACGCATGTCTGTTAGTGTCTTTGGGTGGTCTTCGGGGGTCCCAAGATGAAGGCCCATCCTATGCATCACGCTGTTCACTGATTGACGTTTGTTTCTGCGCAAACTCAGTTCTAGCATCACATATATCATGTCCTTCAGGTTGTTTTGCTCCAGTCTTGTTGCTCTCTTGGTGCCTCCTTATCTCTGTAGCTTAGCGCATTTGCCCTCCCAAGGCTGAGCTGTCTGGAGTAGAGTTATTTAGGAGTCTCTTTTATCCCACAATTATCCCAATTATTTGCTGAGAATCAAGACCACTTTTGTTTCACTTAATTATTTTGTCTAACGACTAAGTGATAGCTTGTGCCCATGTCCTTCCACTACATTCCTTAATGAGAAAACAGGGATTAGTGTAACAGTTATATTGTTAGATCACTATGCATGCAGAAATACAAGTTACAGTACTAAAGACTACTAAAAACTAGAAAATATTAAGGCTTTTTATTATAGTTTCACATTTCTTACAATCCCCTCTATCACTGTGTTAACATTTCATGGGCGTACACCTATAATAAAACTAAGATTTTTGTGGGTGATGACCAGAACCTGGAGTAAATACTTTGGATTGTACTGCTACTTGTGACTCACTGTTGATTTAGAATCAGTCTTCACACTTGAAGTAAATATTGCTGCCTAAAACTGAATTTAACACAGTTGTTTTGAGTCAGAACTGAAGTGGTCTGTAGAAATGAAATCGTAAATGCAAGGACAAGGATTTTTACAAATTGGAAACAACATATTGCAAGTTTGATGTGAAGAGGCTTGCAGCACAGTACTTGGTGAAAGCCAAGGAGAGACATGACTAGTTTCAAGGGCAAATTAATTAAAACTTTTTTTTCTGCTAAACTTCTTTAATCTCCTTGTCACGTATTGTTAGCACAGCAGTGCCAGATGTGTTTCCTTTCTGTAGTTAGAGGATATCCTGCTTGAGGGGCTGCCAAGTTAATTGATTTAGAGATCTTATTTTGTAATTGAAATGAAAGTTGTATGTTTCTGGGATGTAGGGGGTACATGCCAGAGAAAAAACAAGCTGTTTGGGAAGCCTCAAGCAATGTTAGATATGATAGCAAATGCGCCTTTGAATGTAAACTCTTACGTGAACTAGTTTGCAACTATAAGATAGAGGAAGCATCTTTTTCACTGATCATTTCAGTTTGATGGTGAGGGGCAGTACTGAAATAACTTTATGGTTGGTTCTATTGATTTTTAACATTTCACCGTATACCCTAGGAAACTGAAATAAGAATCTTCTGGTGTAGTTAATTTTTTAAATTGTCGGTGTCCTAACTTGTGGTGGTTTTAAAACACAGGTACACGGGGAGAGTGATAAAGGACATTATTAATATGGGTTCCTACAACTACCTTGGATTTGCACAGAAGGCTGGGACTTGCCAAGAAGCAGCAGCTAAAGTTTTGTCCCAGTATGGAGCTGGGGTGTGCAGCACTAGGCAGGAGATGGGTAAGTTGGGGCAAGATAGGTTGTTCCCCAAATGTATGTTTCAAAGTCTGTACTCTGATAGTAGGTCTTCCAAACATTACTTGTTCCAGCTTTTGAACTTCAGTCTGATCAATAAAGAAGCTTTTATGTTAGTAAAGACAAATTGATTTGCTGGGTTTAGTTCACATAGCACAGCAGATGGATCACTTGTGTTTTCATATACATATATGTATATTTAGTGTTCCCTTATGAGCCTTTAAATAAAGAGCAGCCTGCTTGATGGAAGTTCTTGTTGTAGAGTACAGCAATAGTGAAAGCTTCTCCTCACTCTGAATTTCTCATTTGTTTTATGCACAGGAAACTTGGACAAACACGAGGAGCTGGAAAAGCTAGTTGCCAGATTCCTAGGTGTGGAATCTGCAATGGCGTATGGAATGGGGTTTGCAACCAACTCTATGAACATTCCTGCTTTAGTTGGCAAGGTATGGCTTAAGTTGCTGGCAAAAGCTCATGTAACAAAGAATTCTGCTGGTTGGGTTTTCTAAAAGCTACTGGTTTGGTTTTGTTTTGTTTTTCTTCAGTGGCAACCCCTGCAGATATTTGCTGTGGAAACCATAGATCACAGTATACATCTCAAACTTTTGCAAAAATCTTTTTGGGAAACAGCATCAATGGGACCAGTAGCAGTCCAAATTTTGCCCTCTTGCTGGGAATGAGCCTAGCATATTAAGGCTTGCTTCCTCAGGCTACTCATTAGTGTATGAAATGGTGGCCGATTGACAGGCTGATTGGCTGAAGTTATTTTGATGCTCTTGAGACACTAAGAAGTGACTGTGTCAGTGAGACACACAGATAAGCTGAATTGCGTGTTGGTACATACATCATTTATTATCTTTCAGCAACAGCTGAAAAATCCCACCTTTGAAGGAGCAAAATGCTAGTAGAAAAGCTATTTGAGAGACACAAGGTCAAATGTAAAGACTGATGATGTCTAACGTGTGCCTCCTAAAACAGTACACAGTGCAACCTGAGTGTCCTGCATCTCAAACTATGGGATTTTTTAGTTATTGGAAAATGTAATGGAAAAGAGCTCTTTGTTTGCATCTTGTGATGCAAAATGTATGTTTTCTTAGCTCCTACTTAGGGTAAAATAGTGCAAGTATGGGAACTGTTTCTTCTTTTTGAAAATAATTCACTGATAGCCTAATACTACTAGCCTATTGGAATTCTGTGTCCCTGTGTTGAGAATTATTTTCCCTTTATTCCATTTATGTATTTTTCCACTTCCTGACATCACTTTCTAAATTCTTCCACTTGTGATATCTACAAATTATAAAATTGCTGCCTTGTTCTTCCCAGCAGCTTCTCCTCCTGGTGAATCTCTTCTTGACTAGCTGTAGTGTCTTCCTGCGTGCTGTTTTACTTGTAACAATGAAGCAGCACCGACTACATAATACCTCTTTTCTTTTGGTCCGTCAAGTTTTAAATATCGGATGCTTTCCATAATGAAAGATGTTTTTGAGTCCAGTGCCAGAGAGAAATTCAGTGCTTCAAATCTAGTCTTTCTGGAGTCAAATACCTCTGCAGATTTTGAGTGACCTGTGTTACTCCTGACATATATTTTGCTTGCGTTTTTCTGCTCTTTGTCTTCCCACATCTTCCCAATTTTTCTATTCAGCAGAAAAATGACTCATGATTTCTGTGAGACCTCTTGGGTTGAGAACACACAGAGTCAGATATATTTAAGTAGACTTCTGTCTGCTGTAGGTCAGTACAGATTGCCCATTAGTGCAAAGTTGCTCAGTCTCTTTCCAGCTATGTGGATCCTGCTGTAGATCTTTAATACCTTATGAGAATACCTTTGAGACACTGTACTCAGCTCCTGAGTTGTCGCATTTGAACGAACAGCTTTTACAAGCATTGAGAGAATCTGAACAGAAAATTCCAAGACACGTAACATACCAGTTTTCATGCGTGTAACTTGCACATTTACTAAACCGGCTCTTTTCATAAATGGATACCGCAGTCTGTACTGTGTTAATAATGAGCATACTTTGTTTTCATGCACTTTATTTAAAGCAGCAAGAAGCTTCTGCCTCATAACACTAGAAGTGCCCGTATAGTCAGGTGAATACTCCAAACTCTCTTCTGAAGAAGAGAGTTCTTGTCAAATGCACCATTTCACAGCTCAGAACATTCACTAAATGCTTTTTTTGGCTACCTGGATGCCTCTCACTGCACTTTTGGTTTCTTCGTTGTCTGCAAATAAGGACTCACATAAGCCCTGAATTCTGGCACCATGCAGTACACAGCTGGCTGTGAGCACAGCCTGCTTGGCAGTGCTTTGATAGAGTTCTCAGTGAAGCCCAGAGACTTCCATGCCTGATTGAACTCTTGGGCTCTTGTTTTTGTTACCACTGTTTGTGTCTCTCTGCATGTCCTGCATACATTTTCAGCTGCAAAGCTGCTTGGAACAGAATTTTTGGAGGTTTTGCAAATATGATCAGTAAAGGCATCTGCGTTTGGCCAGAAGGAGTTTCTTTGACAGTCACTGATATGATTTGAAGCTAATCATTATTTACGTGATATCTGGGCACCCACATTGCAACTTAATTAGCTTAAAAGACAAACCACTGTGATAGTTACGTATATGTAATGCTGGACCACCTATTCTGGTTTTGCCCTGTGGAATCCTTAAGCACTTAGTTTATGTTATTACTGAATCCTCTTTTAATAGCATCGAATATGATTTGACTACCCTAGGATCCAACTCTACCCCATAATCTGAGCAGCATTTGTCAGCAAAAAGAATTCAGAAGCTTCATCAGCATTACCTAGTTGATCATTATTCACTATGCCTTGTTAACAGCAGCTGCTGGAAATGGGTATGGTTGGTGTATGCTGAAAGCTGTATTTCAGCACTGTTAAAGCA